TATATATATATATATATATATATATATATATATATATATACACACACACACATTTGAAATAACCAAAAACTCATAAATTACTATATCGATACCACAGAATTACACTATAATTTCAGTAAAGTTCAATAATTAAGCTGTTCAGGAAAACATAAAATTTCAAGCAAAATAAAGATTCACCTTACCAGCTTGAAGACTTGTATCGAAAGAATGAAATGATGTTGTAATATTTGAGAATGGCTGAGAAAGCCACTAGGGGAACATTCTGAGCTTTCAATTGGTTATTAACATGTCATAGACAGAAGTAAGTGCATATAAGGGAGTGTTTCCAAAAATGGAAAGAGGAGAGCGGGCCCACTGTGTTTGATTCAGGACATGAGCAATATCTCAACAAATACAAAAGATATGAGATTCTTATTTTATATTCTAGCTTGTTAACCCCATCACCACGGGTATCCTTTACTGCACATGACTCAAGTTTTTAGTGTCTTACATTCAAAGTGTTATTAAACTACTATTTGTTTATGTTATACCAATTAGAATAGCATAAAATCTTAGCTAATAATCCATATTTTAATAGTACAGAGGGTTTAAGCTTTTAATTCTTGAAGGCAATATTTAAAAAAATTCTGAATTTCCCATAGTGTGACACATTTTCTCTAGGCATGCTGTTTCCTCTATTTTATCCACCACCCCTTGGAAAAGTATTAAATTAAATGTAAATTACTCACTATAAAATTAACATTGCTCCGACAAACCATATTTTTTATAGTCTTCAATTTTGTTTGGTTACAGTTATCGAATAGAAAATCAAACTCCTCCTGCCACACCCACCTGTCATATCCGTTCTTTAAGGATTTGTTAATAGTTGTCTCTTACATTTCATTATATATTACCTATAACCAACAGAAAGTCAAGGGTTTCATCTATCAAATGACGTATTGCATAACAGTTAAATGTCAGTTTCACTTAGAGTACCAACATCGTTCCCGTGAGAAAGTTAACTACTAGCTTGGATGAATTTGTAATGACTCTTGTCATATAGTTAAAAAGACAGAAAATTTGAGAGGTAAGGGAATTTCTCTACTTTTTGCACGTTATTAGTCTATATTCTTTGGTGCATTATTTAATTAAATAAAAATTATTAAATGCATTACTATCATTAGTATATAATAATTAGGGTTAACTCTCTCAGACAATCAACGGCAAGAAAAAAGAAGATTGATTAAATATTTTATTTCTTGTTTTTCATGTTTATTCTTTAGGTATAATTATCAAAGTAAGTAAAATTAAAAATAGCGATCCTTTTCGGTTAGTTAAGATTAGATTAGGTAAAATAAGCAATATTAATATTATAATAAA